AATAAAGATCGGTTTGTAATTTTAATGAAACTCAATAGTACACTCAACTCCAATATTGAAAATTATATAATCTTACCAGTTAGACTAAACTAAAATCAAAGAAATAATATTCAAAAACTGTGTTCTTGTGATTTGGAAATTGAATATTGTTCCTAAGATTTCACTGTATCAATCAATTTACTATAATTATACTGAATGATTGACGCAAACCAATAAAGATCTATCAACAAAAAGTGATTAGTTCATTTGGTAAACTACCAATATTAGGTAATAAATACAAAATGTATTTATCTAACACAATTATTCTTTACTCCTCCACCCCCCATGCCTTCCGAAATAAAGAACTATAAACTTTGTTATCTCTTAATTTTCATATGATAAAATACACTGTTTTTTGTCTTAGTTATAGACATTCGGTGAATGTTTAAATCTTGTTTCATTCTTTATTACGCTTGATGAATTCTTTTCATTTGTTCAAATTTTCCTAAAGTATAATTTATACGGTTAAATTAACACATTAACAAATTCAATTGTTATCATCTCTATTGACTCACTCTCTTTCTCTCAATCTCTCTGTCCCTCCCTCCCTTTCTCCCTCTCTCTCCCTCACTCTCTCTTCTGTCCCGTTTACTTTGTCATCCTCCCAGTACATATATACATCTATATACAAATACAAAACATAAACATACATTTAAACATTACTTTGAAGCCAATTTTCTTTTTCAAATTTTTATATAATAGAAATGATCCATTGTTTCATAACAATACGCATCAACAATTAATATACCATTTAATGTAAAATAATCTTCATTTATAATAATACATTCTAGGTAATCAAAACATCTGTTTATTTTATGATCAAATTATGTACGGATATTTATTTATATAATTAGACATGTCTAAATCTTGTTATTTACAAATCAGAGATTACTTTCAGTTGAACATTATATGTATATATGTATATTTGAAATAACCCGAAAATGCCTTGATTGAATTCTTCATTCAAACGTGAAATGTTATGTAAATCATTGATGTAATTTTATGCATTCAAGTTACTTCAGTAATATAAATTACACAAAAAAGAAAAGAAAATGTATAAGTGGTTTCAGTGTCATTTTGAAACAATTGTGACCTTATTCTAGAATTAAATAAAAAGAAATGATTATTTGAATATTGAATTATCAGTAAACTTTAGAGATTTATTTAAAGTATTAACTAAAAAGAATAAGAAGTATGCTAACACTATAGTCATTCGGATAAAGTTCGATTTCCAGCATTTCAATTCATTCTACTTGTTAAAAAAATACTAGAATTAATGTTATTTCATGGTGAATAATATTATCCTTCAGGAATATGAAATCTACATTAATTGAATAGGAATTCATTTAGTGTTTGTATATTTGTTACGCATAAGTATAACCTTTCCAATATTGAATCAATAAGACTAGTGGTCACGTCTTAGTTCTACAGGAGGCCGGTCGCTGACTGAATAATACAGTGGTAATATCTATGGGAGTGAAATTGGGTGACATAGGTTCAAATATCTCAGATATCATTAGTCCAATCAAGATTGCAACCTAACCCTACTAACTAGTAATGATTGATACAAAATTTAGGTACTGTGTTTCCTACCGACTATTTCAAACCATTGATTATTATAAACAGAAGGGGTTTTGTGGAGATTGTAGTAATTTCAATAATTGAGATCATGATTCAATTGATGCTAGACCAACATGGTAAACCTGGAAGCAATGGACGGCTGTTTCGTCCTATTGTGGGACACCTCATAGACTCATGATCTCAATTACTGAAATTACTACGATCTCCATAAAACCCCTTCTGATTCTAATCAACATATGCTCACTAGTGACTGACTTCAAGAGGTATATCCTGGAGTTCTATTGGGAAGCAGTGACCAGTGGAGTTCAACCGGGTCAGTTGTGAGGTAGTAACTCACTGAAGATAATGGTGGATGAGTTGTCGCTTAATTTCGTGGATTGGTTGAAGTTAGACATTAACAACGTTGGACACCGGCTCAGCGGTCTAATGGTTAAGCGCTCGCGCGCGAGACTGACAAGTCTTGAGTTCGAATCTCGCTAGGACAGGTCGTGGATACGCACTTGTGAGGAGTCCTACAATAGGACGAAACGGCCGTCCAGTGCTTCCAGGTTTACCATAGTGGTCTAGCTTCAATCGACTCATGATCTCAATTATTGATTATTGGAAATTTTCACAAAATTGTCAGATTTAAACAGTTAAGAAATGCAGTCCTAGCTGAATATTTCAGTTTATGTTTTAAATTTTGTCTATATCTAATCCGTTAGGTAGTACAGAATAGGTAGTTAACTACTTTACAGAAGTGTTCAATCATGGCATCATATGGGATCAAATTTAAAAGCTTCATTTCTCTTTGACTTTTATTTGTTTATTAGTCAATGACAGCTTGTAATAAAACTGTCCAGAAACTATAGAAATCTATCTCATAAAACAACGTCTGAATATTATAATTTTACTTAGCAACGAAAACTCAAGAATTTATAAATGTCAACCTTTGCCTGTGATTTCACGTTTCTCCTTATGATCTTAACATAGAAAATACATTAGCTGACATTTATTCTCCAAGATTTAATGGTACTTATTATTTGTTTTAAGAATTAAAATAAGCCATCTACCATGAAACAACAAACTCTAATTTTATTGGAAACTGAAATTGTCTTTTATTGATGTATATTGGTAAATGTGATAAATAAAATCTAACTATTATTTTGAGTCATGTAAAATCAACTGGGTTAGATAATGCTGGTCAGCGGCCTATGCTCGATTGGGAGTAACAGGCATAAGTAAAATCAACTGTAATCACAGTCCATTATAATGTTAAGCTCTAATCATTTAAGATACAGATAACAAATTACTGAATACTCTATATTAAGAAAAATTTGTAGTCAGTCAGTTATATTTGAAACAGTCCAACGGTATGTACTAGGTTATACATGTTCAAACTAAACAAGTTAGAAATTCAATTCTTTCAACTGATTGAAATGAAATGAAATTCATTTCTACATTTTATAAACATCATCATAACTCTTTAAATTAAACTAAGCGGGGAGGGGGGAACAGAGATAAAATGTAATGAAAATACATGTTAGTTTTCTTTAATCCTTCAGTGGCTATAAAGCCAGAAGATTATTTATTCGATCTTTAGTTTACTCATGAAAGAATACTGCTGAGGAATCTCATATCATAGAAAATAAAAACACCCACATAGTGTCTTCTGATTTCCAGTGGGTGTTCAACTAAAATTAATAGAAATATAAAAACATTGTTAATCATTTTACACCAAGAAAAAACATTAAATAGTATATGTTTTATGATAATATAAACTAAGTACCATTCCATCTTTATTATAGTATTATGTATATACAGTACTAAGAGATACTTTCACTAATCATGTCTGTTTCTATTATCTGATATTGTATGCTTAATGTGGATATAAATCAAAACAACAATAAAGATAAAATAGATAAATAAACATTTGGAAATCATAATGTTTGTTTAAATGAATATTGAAATTGCGCAAATTATAAAGAAAAGAAGAAAAAGAAAATAAGAAATTTTATGGGTAAAAATAGTTTTTCTTTTTGAAAATATACAGACGTATATCATAGAGATAAATTTTTCTTTATTATTAACTATTATCTTAATGACTTACAAACCATTTTATAGTATACAATTTATATACATGTTTTTTAGTTTCATACAACTAAGAAATTAACTGAATAACGTTATAAAACTTAGTAGGTTGATGAATCGGACTTACTTACTTACTTACGCCTGGTACTCCTCTTCTTCATTTGGAAGTTGGTTTGTCCTCTCTCACATTAGGCTGTTGCTGATGATATTAGGCCAACGGATATTGAGTATCTTGCGTAGAAAACTATTTATAAATACTTGTAGCTTCTTGATGATGTTTATAGTAGTTCTCGAAGCTCCGTACAGTAGAACTATCATGACGTTCGCATTGAAGATTCTGACTTTGATACTGGTTGTTGATGAATTGTAATGAATGAGAAATGTCTACCCATGAAATTTAGAGATGTGGTAAATGCAAAGTTCTTAATAATCGAAAAAATTCCATTTGATTAGAATGGAGTTGAATTGTACCTAACCTAATTATGATTATATGTTGCATTGTAATCAACAGGAAACGATGAACCTAGATTTTACGTTCATGAAGTTCGATTAACTTGAAATTAATTCTAAATAACAGTTCAAATGATTCAAGCTGTGCTTGTGTTCTTTAATCTATAAAAAACAAATTAGACGCTACTATCTACTTTCATATGATTAAGGCTACTGTCAGCGTAGTGTTGTTGGTTGAACAACATATGTGTTCAAGGTTTGTGTGGATTGTTAGATATTGTAATTTACATAATGGATTACGTTCAATTAATGTATAATTGAAAAATAGGCTAAACTAAGTAGCTATTGGCGAGACTATAATCTGTGAACAAACCAATCAGATATAAAATGACGAGTCATGGATGCTGGTGCGAAGTTCATTCATGCATTTGGCTAAAAAGCGTTTTGGCAGTTCGTGATGAAGACTCTAAATCTAATTCCTAACCTTAATCATCAACTGTAAATCATAATTCGAATTTCTCATACAGGTTTCTAACCTTTATTTAGTCCTAGTTATTAGATGGACACTCTCAAGGTCAGTCTAGCGTCGACCAAAGGTCGTCCATAAATTATAGTCTCACCTAGCTATTTCATCCTAGTGTGAGAAGTTCCAACAATATATATCTATAACGTAATCAGGGATTGAAATCACATTGAGCGCTTAAAATGTAAACCTTTCTGTTACCATTCTACAGTTTACATTTTTTTATGTATATTTGCTGTGACCATTCGCTGTTTTTACCAAATTTTTAATCATATATCTCTATTGATCTTACACACCAACAAATTGCTTTTTCTTTATTATTATTATTATTATACAGGTAAAAATCTGGTTTCAAAATCGTCGGTATAAGTTAAAAAGACAGGTCCAAGATAAAAATTTGGAAGAAGCTAGTGCATTACATCATCATTTACAAACTTATTCTATACCATTATTACAACAGTCAACGGAATTATGTAACCATGCTACATCTATAACTAATTCGTCATTATATAATATTGTTAATCAGGTAGATGATGTTTGTCATCAAATTCAAAATCGTACACGTTTTCCTGAGTTGAATTCATATGAATGGGCAAATATATTTTCTCAAACATACAATAACAACACTACAACCACTGTTACTACCATTAATATTTCAAATAATAGTAGCAACAACATTTCTTATTCAATGGATTCAAAATTTTCAAATCCATTGATTAATTCCGATAAGACAATTAATTCTTTAACTAATTTCAATGAAGAAAAATCTACTAAATATCCAAGTCATTTCTCATCATTATCTAATTACTCAGATACAAAATCATTACCTCATCATTTCAATGAGAATACTGTTACAGATTTAAGTTATACAACTCATCAAACTAGATCAGCTTTATCGTCACTGTTACCATTATCTAAATTACATCAATTTCATTTAGATTTTGATTCAATGAATGAATCTAACTTTTTATCAACATATAATGAACAAAAATTCAATCATCCTAATACTTCATTATCTCAATTTGATTATACTCATGAACAGAATAACATTGATGAACATCATGTTACTAATCAATTTACAAATAATTTTAATGTAATTGATATTAATCATAATAACAATAATATTAATAACAATAGTAATTACTTATATAATCATAATGATTCTATAGAAATTCTAAACTCGAACTCTACATTTAACAATATAACTCCAAAAATAGATTTATCCGTTTCATTTTTAAATAATTTCAAAAATCAATCAAATCAATCTTTAAATAATTTTTATGATAATTATTTTATTATGAAAAAACATTTACAATCATTATCAACTTCATCACAATTCACATCAACAATTACTATAACTACAGGATTTCCAACAACATCTATAACTAATCAATCACAGAAATCAATTACAGATATATCGAATACAATAGAATCTAATATGAAATTAGAACAATTACATTATAATCCTGATTGGTTTTCAAATAATTTATTTATTTCATCAAATCTATCGAATTATTCTAATAATGAATTCATTCAGTCAACAACTAAAGATCATTCTGAAGTTAATCATACTACTACTACTACTACTAACAATAATAATAATAATAGTAATAATATATTACCATTATCAATATATAATGATGAATATAATAAAGAATTAAATGATAATAAATTTTCAAATTCTATAAATAAAATAAATTTAGAATATCAAACTGTATTAAATGTAGCTAAAGCTGCATTTCAATATGAAAATATAATTTTAAATAAAAAAACCCCGCCATTTACAAATTTGACAATTTCAAATATAAATGAACAGAAAAACAATGAAGAAATTATTGATTATCATAAAAAACAAACGAATGAAGAAGAAGACGAAGAAGATAATGATGATGATGATAATGATAATGATGAATATATTGTTTATCATGATTATCAATAGAATTGTTGTTATTATTTATTAGATCATTTTATTCATTCATTGATCCATTGAAAATTGAATAAATCAGGGATAAATTTAAATGTTTAAAAAAATTTAAAACAAACTAATAGTTTGAAAAAGTTATCATCAAATCTTTTTCCACTTATTGCCGTTTTTTGTTTTCTTACTATTAAAATAACATTCAGAAAGCAAGTTTATTTATATATACATAGTTATTTATAATTACTATTGTTGATATTATTATTGTTACTAATAATCATTCTTTACATGGAATTTATTTAATTTTTTAAAACTTTCCCTACATACTACTAATACTACTATACTACTACTAGTAGTAGTAGTACAATTACTGATAGTACTCAATGTATACATTTATTTCCTGTTTTAACATTATTGAACTGGATCATTCACTATAATTAATGGAATAAATTGAACATTTTCATCGATAGTAATTAATTGTTTCACACATTAAAAAACAACAACAACTGTATTTGTTTAAATTATTATTAAACTAACAGTGTTGGCTAATTTAGTTTATTTTTTACAGTTATACTCCCTATCCTTATTATATTTAATCTTACTCGTTCTGTTTCGATTACTACTTTTAAGATTATAAGTAGTAGTGATTTTATCAATGATAATATTTGATGCAAAAAAGGTTTTGTGTTTTTTGTTTTGGTAAAAGGAAAATGAGTAGTTTAGATCATTTGATCTATTAACTGGTTTGTTTTTATACTTTCACTGTTTATAAACGACATTGTTATTCAATTTTACTTCTTAGTAAGTGGAATAGATTTTCGCTTTTGTGCAAATCATATTTACGTGCATATTATCACAAGAAAGTTATATACTTGTAGCCTGAGCAAATCACTTTTCTATTATGTAAGATAGCTAATATATATGACAATGTTGCGATTGGTTAGTTTCTTCTATTTCATTTCCTTAGTGTATTCCTTTAGTAGAGTAATGTAAGAAAGATGAAAGAATCAAATGATCTCTGATTTTTTTAAAAATATATTCTAATATAAATCGATGTTTAACTCACATGCTATATATGTTTCTAAAGTAATAAAAAATTAACACTTCGTAAATATTTACTGGGGAATCGTAATAAATTATTTGTGTTTCATGATGAGATCTAGTAGCTGTTATGTTCTTAAATATTTGACCATCCAGATAGGCCGAAGAAGACAATAATTTCATGAGAAGATTTACTATTGAAAGATGAATAATTATACTTACAACTAGTATATATTTTTGGATAGTCATATCGATTGTGTATTTTTGAGATAGAATATATCACTTCTGAAATTCGCCAGTGATAATTACTGATGAAACTGCTTTGAATTTCAGTGAAGAAACAAAGAATAAAAAATTAATTTTATTTAAAGGAATTTTACTAAGCAAGATGTTCGCTTGTTGATCAAATAAATTCAAATTAGTTTGTGATTGTTCAAGAATTCAACAATTAAATTATCAAACAAAGCAAAATGACCTACTCAGTCTACAGTAACCAGTTTTACAAGCTAAATACAACCTCTCATTCTAACTAGTATAAAGTAATTGGTTAGTACATACAACATAGGGACTCGAAAACTTCATCGAAATAACTTAAGGTAATCTGGGTCTTTAACTTAATGTTGACCAGTAGTGAGAGAGCTTTCATATTGATCATGTCATTCAAATTGTATCTAACTAACGAGTTATCAGTACAATGAAATATTCACCTTAGACTTTATTACTGACAACCACTAAATTAATGTGCATTAATAATACATGCTTAGATAAACGATTTTCATTACCGCATTAAATTTTAAAGTTCACGAAATACAAAACTCAGTGTGTTGTTCATTTGTACTTTTGTTGATTGATTTCAACGAACTAGTTAACAAAAGAGTCGTTATCTTGATTCATCAAGATTTTCAAACTGGCCAAAGAAGAATTTTGACAGTTGTTATTTGTTAATATCCATAACTGGTCGGTAAATTTTAGTGTTGTTATCAGTTTGGTAGGTTAGTTGACAAAACTGATTGTTTAGTGATAACATCACAAACTGGATATGAATTTCTCAAGGTACATCAATTTATTTATAATTTAAGGTTCACCATGCCGATGAGAGTCAACTAGCAAGAAACCTAGATATAGGGTGGCCTGTTAACTATCTACAACCATCTAACACTGGAACTTTAGCATTTATTTCACACTGGAAATCTCTCGCGAACCAGTAAGTATAAATTTGGAAATTTATAATAGTGTTCATCCAATACTCTGCCTGGAATTAAGTTCAGGATCATTGATCATTGCAAATGGCACAGCTAGTTACTTAGACTCTTGAATCAGCTTTCAACAATCTATTTCCTGTAACTTTTCTTATTGACAACGAAGAAAAGAAATTAATTTGAAAGAATTTTAGGGGTTTTCTAAAATATTATCCACTTGGGAATTTTCACCCTTCGTTATTTTCATCGAAAGAAAAAACCTAAGATCAAATCGTTAATTTTTAGGAGAAATCTGTTTCGTTTCTTAGAAAAATGAAAAAGCATCAAACAAAAATAGATCAAACTAAATGTATCTGAATGCCTTTCGTAGTTAAAGAAACAAATCTAAAATGTTTTGACAAAATTGGATTGACACTAGTAAGGGAAATTAAAATAGACATTTGATGTTATTCAAGACCCGCTAGTTAAATGTACTAATATTCCAGAGCTGAAGTTTACACTAAAGACTGAATTCAATTTCTATCTCCTGACATCTGAACAAGCTAATCACCATATTACTGAGCCCATTTATCCACTAAGTTATTCAATGGGTGTGAAGTTGTCAGTAAGGGTTTGTATATTTCCCATGCTGATATTAAGGAATAGAGCTGGACAGTCATGTATATCCAGAATGAATAGTCTCGATATTTTTGTTTCATCAAATATACTGGGAAGATTGGGTTATGGATATATCCAGCCACTGGAACTTCTGATAATTCCATGTTACGCATATTAAGTAGCGGATTTAGGAAAACTGAAAACTCCCACAAAACCTAAAACCTTCAGAATTTGTCCCATGAAAATTTATGTGCATGCACTAATGAAGAGTTTGGAACCAAGATAAGTAGAATATTTCTTAATTGCTTCTTAGTTTCTAATAATTTGCCAGTTGGTATCTGTTCTTGAAAGTTCTTTTCGAAAAATACCTGACCTAGGCTGAAAGCATATTTTACGAATTTGCATAGTGTTACTTTCATTGAGTTCAGTAGTATATCCAAATGACGTGGGAAATGTTTGAACGGTAGTTTGTTACAGATCAATTAATAGCATTACATTTATTTTACATTGGCATATATAACTGATGAGAAAACACTTCGTATGAGGACTGGTAACTGAATAAGATAATAATGAACCACATTTTTCTACTGCGAACAACAAATATCATCCCAATTACCAGTGGGAGTTAGCGGAGATTGTTGAATTTTCATAATTTAAAATATGAACGGATCTTAGCTAGACAACTATTCAGAATAACGAAGGATTGGACGACCGTTTTGTCCTAGCAAGAAGCTCTTCAGCAATAAGAATCCAAGAACATATCACAAGGGATCGAACCCAGCACCATCAAGTCTCGCGCGAACACTTAACCTTTACACTACTAAGTCGGGATTAAGTTGTATACGCATTAATCTTCAATCAATTCACGATATTGAGCAACCCTCTCCAATTGTACTCAAGAGGTAATTGTCTGATGCCCGACATAGTTAAACTCAAGGATTGTCGGATGTGAGACATTTATACACTCTTAACAATCGAAGAGTTGTGGAGTATAGTGAATTGATTGAAGATAGCTGTACACACCACTGAATCCCGATTCATTGGGATAAAGATTGTGTCTGCACGAGACCTGGAGGTGCTGTATGCAATCTCCTGTAGTGTGATCTTGGATACACACTGCTAAGGAGCTCCATACTAGCACGAAACAGCCTCCGATCGTTCCTGGTTTTGAGTAGTGGTTTGGCTAAGATTAGCCCCTGATGTCAATCGTGAAATCCCATACAGCTTATTAAGGATTTTAAAAAAAAAATCGTTGCAACAGCCCCAGGAGAACAATTACTAGTTTCCTACTAATCTCTTATAATCTTTCATTATTCATTAACATGCAAATAAAAGTTGGTGTAATATTTATGTAATAACACAATTACCATTGTAAAGAGTAAAATCAAGAAAGCTCATACAAGTATCAATGAGTGAAGAAAAGGAATTTGTAATTAAGAGCACGCAACTAAATATCGACAAATGGGATATTTAAGACAGCCCAAGACTGATGGCATTATCATTCTGAATCTATAACTACTGTTTAAACGTAACAATGGCCTTCACAAAGTATGTCAAGTGTTAACTAGCGAGGATTATCGAAGAAATAAGTAAATTAATATTTAACACATAATGCTCCCTTAGTTGTCTCGAAAAGAGTAAAAACAAAGGTATGAGCAGAATCATATCAATTGATTTCACTTCATTAGTTTTTAACCGGCTGTTTACAAAATCAAAATTATGAAATGAGTTGAGAACACTAACATAAACGAATTTGGTTAAGATTCGTCATGAATAAACTTTAGTATGTATAACAAAGATTTACATAAATTAAAGAAGCTAAACAACAATTATCAGTACAGGACTGTGCAGATTATTGAGTTTTAATTGAGATCATGAAACAATCAATGTTAAACCACCACTGAAAACCTGGAAGAACTGAGAGGTTGGTTCGTACTAGTATGGGACTCCTCAGCAGTGCGCATCCACGACTCTGAAAGTGGGACTCAAACGTCCTGACATAGATCCGAACTATGTCCAGACTAATTCGGTTTAAGCATCCATGTAGTAGCAGTAGCTGAGTATGCCAACCTGTGATTGATTAATACGTTACCCTGATTATATTCATAAATAACCGTAGAAGGATGAGCAACAATTACAGTGAAGCACATATGAGTGATTCTCTCGATAAAGTTTGTGGGATCA